TTTCTCCGGCCGAGGCTATCCGGGGCGGAGCACAGAGCCGGTTTGTTCCCGCTCTGTCCGCCGCCTGGCGGCTGCTACCGACCTACCGCTGCGAAGTTGGCGGAGGAGCAGTCGGGCGCAGGGTAAGGTCGGGTAACCTCTTGCCCTTCCGGCCCTCTACTTTCGCTGGGACCCACTCAGGGCGCCCACCGGAGCGCCCACGCCCGCAACAGCCTCGGGACCTCCCCGCCCCTCCCGCACTGTGGCCTCTCCCAGCTCTGGGCCCACCCGGCAGCCCCGAACCGCGTCAACCCAGACGGCCCCTCGGGTTTCCTCACTTTCTGGAATTTATCTCTAGGCCCTCCGTTCAGGTTCCCTCGAGGTTCCGCTTTGTCCCTTCTGTCTTCTCCCCGGAAATCTCTGAGCGTCCTCTGATCTCAGTCGGTCTCCCGGACTCTTCACGCCCACAGTGAGGAGCTGAGTGGTGCCCAGGGGTCTGCCTTCTCTAATCCCAGGGCCCCATTCTGTTTTCCATCCTATTTCCCTACAGAAAACTGTTGCTTTCTACCCTCCCAACTCTGCCTAAGGGAATACTCTTGAAGCCCGTGGTAAAGCTGAAGCTTATGAGGCGACGCAGATGTTTTACTGATTCTGGCAACTCCTGTGTTTGTTCAGAAAACATGAGCTGAGCTCTTGCTGCGATTCAGGGCCTGCTCTGGGTAGTGAGGACACAGCCACGCCCCGTGCAGAGTGCTTCCCCCTCCTAGAAGCTGTGCAGCGCCCAGATGGTGCTAGGCCCAACTGGTTCTGCCTACCTCGGACTCAGAACTTTTGATACATGAAGGAAAGAGCATTTGCCCCCCGGTGAGCAGCATAAAGAAGATCACTGGCCGCACAAACGCTGGGTGTGTTCTGGGAGCTAATTAGATGACATCCTACAGTAGCAGAGAAATAGAAAATTGGGTTGGGGATAGAAATTGGGACCCTGCTACAGAGAAAGTCCCTCTACATTCCAGCGAGTGTTCTCTGCTAAGCAGCAAATTATTAGGGTTCACTCCTTAGTAGTAGAAGGTCTCCCACAAATTTCCCAGAGGTTATCTTCTCTTCCGTGAAACTTACGGGACTGAGGCTAGATCTTCTCTAAAATGTAACTGGTGTCAGAAAATCCAGTTGCTATCAGGAGGCTCTTCGTTGCAGCTGCCCTCCCTCCAATCTGTCGTGAGTCCAGGTGGTGCAGAAGCCAAGGTTCAGCCATGCAGAATCCTGCCTTCCAGTGAGGCCACGTCTGTGCTCCTCACCCACCTCCACAGGCAAGACCTCACTCAGCTCCCACCTCCTTCTCTGCCTCCAGGGTGTCTGACTTCAGTTCTATCCTCTCTGTTTAGCATGCTGACCTTCTTATTGAGACCTGTGGGCATCCTGTACCTGTCTTCAGGGTTACTGGTAATAGCTCAATTTGGAGGAGACTTCTCACCCAGGTATGTTTGGGAAGGGTTGGGAACTTTCTGTTTGCACTGGAGGAGAGCCTAGGGCCTCTGAAGGAAAGGCCTTTCTGATTTGCCCAAACCGTGTGCCACATGGGTTACATCTTTAGGACTTCACACATCTCCTTTGTCCTTGCAGGATGAATCAAGTTTTCTTGACTCCCTCCCACATGGTGAATCGCAATGTGGGTCTGAAAGTTGAAGGCTCAAGCTTCACACTAGATGGCTCTCCTTTCCTGATCATAGCAGGTACTATTCACTATTTCCGGGTGCCCAGGGAGTACTGGAGGGACCGCTTGCTGAAGCTGAAGGCCTGTGGCTTCAACACCCTTACCACGTGAGTGCTGGCACCTGAGTAATTAGTTCAAGAATTTATAGTCTGAATTTCTAGCTCTGAGACTTTATTAGACCAGTCTAAAGGTTGACCCTCTTAGTATTTTCTTCATTGTTCTTAGGATGTCTGAGTCTCCATTTGATATCTCCAGAATATCCATCCTGTGGATAGAGCCTGCACTGAGGGCTTTGAAAGGCCTCCCTCTAAACAGGGTCACGGTGGCCTGCATGCAAAAGTCTAACTTTCAGAGGCAGTGGCCAGTACAGATGGATGTAGGTCAGTGGTCCCTAACTACTCTCCTCCTTGGATATCCTCACTTGCTATACGAGTCATAGCCCCAGTGATGAGTCCTAGGAGAGAATACTGTTCTAGAAGATTTTGTCTTTGAAGAAAGGTTTCATTGAGAGCCAGGCCTGGCAAGTAATAAAATTATCCTCATTCTACAAGCTGAAATTAACAAAAATTAGTAATTTCTTTCTAGGCTTCAAAGCTTGGAAACTGCTTATCCATTATTGTTTTGATACCAGTTTTAGCTGTGTTCTCTTTTGAGTGGTTGGGTTTTTTTTTTTAAGATTTTATTTATTTATTTGACAGAGAGATAGAGAGAGAGCACAAGTAGGCAGAGTGGCAGGCAGAGGGAGAGGGAGAAGCAGGCTCTCCACTGAGCAGGGAGCCAGACGTGGGGTTCGATCCCAGGACCCCAGAATCATGACCCGAGCAGAAGGCATCGCTTAACTGACTGAGCCACCCAGGCACCCCTGAGTGGTTGGTTTTTAAAATGTAGGTTTAGAAGAAAAAATATTTAATTGGAATTTGATTTGGTGAATGATGGGAGTGATATTTAAAAGCATTTGCCATCTAAACTGTCATAATGCCTTTTATACATCACATTATTCCCCCTTTTTTTTCTTATTATTTTGTTCCTTAATATAGCAGTGATTCACACACATTGAAATTTTATAAACTATTAAAAATTTAAACACGGTTGTAGTCTAAATAAGACAGGTACATTTTTGTTGTTTTTAGCACTGTTGTTTAGAAAAGTAAAAAGTGTCACCCTTATTTCATAACCTGTAAGATAGTCTAAGTCTCTCAAAAAGGAAGAGAACATTGTCACAGAATGCATGCAGCCTTATACATTGAACACATTTAGCATATAAAGACTGCATTGTCTTTTTAAAAATTTTTTATTTAAATTCAATTAGCCAACACATAGTACATCATTAGTTTCAGATGTAGTGTTCAATAATTCATCAATTGCATATAACACCCAGTGCTTGTCACATGACATGCCCTCTTTAATACCCATCACGCAGTTCCCTTATCCCCCCACCCACCTTCCCTTCCACAACCCTCAGTTTGTTTCCCACAGTTAAGAGTCTCTCATGGTTTTTCTTCCTGATTTCTTCCCATTCAGTTTTCCCTTCCTTCCCTTACGGTCCTCTGCACTGTTTCTTATATTCCACATATGAGTGAAACCATATGATAATTGTTTTTCTCTGATTTAATTCTTTCACTTAGCATAATACCTCCAGTTCCATCCACATCGATGTAAATGGTAAATATCCATCCTTTCTGATGGCTAAGTAATATTCCATTGTATATATGAACCACATCTTCTTTATCCATTCATCTGTTGAAGGACATCTTGGCTCTTTCCACAGTTTGGCCATTGTGGACATTGCTGCTAGGAACATTGGGGTGCAGTTACCCCTTTGTTTCACTACATCTGTATCTTTGGGCTAAATACCCAGTAGTGCCATTGCTGGGTCATAGGGTAGCTCTATTTTTAACTTCTTGAGAACCTCCATGTTGTTTTCCAGAGTGGCTGTACCAGCTTGCATTCCCACCAAGAGTGTAAGAGGGTCCTCACCAACATTTGTTGTTTCCTGACTTGTTAATTTTAGCCATTCTGATTGGTGTAAGTTGGTATCTCATTGTGGTTTTGATTTGTATTTCCCTGATGCCAAGTGAACATTTCTCATGTGTCTGTTGGTCATTTGTATGTCTTCTTTGGAGAAATGTCTGTTCATGTCTTCTGCCCATTTCTTAACTGGATTATTTGTTTTTCTGGGTGTTGAGTTTGGTAAGTTTTTTATAGATCTTGGATACTAGCCTTTTATCTGATATGTCATTGGCAAATATCTTCTCCCATTCCATAGGTTGTCTTTTAGTTTTGTTGGCTGGTTTCTTTGCTGTGTACAAGGTTTTTACCTTGATGAAGTCCCAAGAGTTCATTTTTGCTTTTGTTTCCTTTGCCTTTGGAGACGTGCCTAGCAAGAAGTTCCTGCGACCGAGGTCGAAGAGTTTGCTGCCTATGTTCTCCTCTAGGATTTTGATGGATTCCTGTCTCATATTTAGGCCTTTGATCCATTTTGAATTTATCTTTGTGTATGGTGTAAGAGAATGGCTCAATTTCATTGACTGCGTTGTCTCTTAAAAAAAGAGTTATTAGATAAAAAAAAAAAAAAAGAGTTATTAGAAATGAATCAGCCAGAGTCTTGCAGGGACAGACCTAGAGTGTGACAAAATCAGATTTGCTGACTTTCAGCAAGGGAATGAGTTCTAGAGGAATGGTGGAGGAGGAGGAGAGACTTTGCAAGTTTAGGCCCCAGGTGAAGGATTCTAAAGGGAGTTGAAGGAAAGCAGGGACAACTTCTGGATTGCTTGTTGTTTCCAGTGCAAGATTAGAAGAAGTAGGTATAGCCAGGGTTGGGTACTGGCATGAGGTAAGGGTAGTTTAGCAGTTAGGCCACCCTAGAAGTAAAAGGGTACAGCAGAGAGGATCTGGGGGTGTCATCGGTGATAAAGCAATAGTCACTCAAAGAGGTGACATTTTATAACTGCTACACTGCCTTGGGAGCAGTAGTGTCTCCTTTTAACTTTTCAGGTGGCTTTAATCTGTGTCTATCTAATGGCAGGACTGGTTTTTCTTTTTCAATCAAGCTAATTTCCATTCTTGAAGTCTTGAACAGGTTTTCAGTCATTACAATTTTTTACTATGGATTCACAAAAACTTCACCTCAGTATCAGTAGATCTTGACCAGTGTTGGAGAATGCAATGATGAGTTTGATTTTCAGGCTATTATTGGTTACATTGTGTTATCTATTCATTCTTGTACTATAGTAACAGTTAACTTAATTATTTTATCTTTCTGTTTTAATTGTGCTTGTTTCCCCTTTTTCTAGATATGATAGCAGGTTTCTAGTTTTTTATTCTATTTTATTTATTTAT